TCTCTGTAAACCCTTGAGATTATTTTGGGTAAAAAACCTCAGTCAATCATCAGTTTCTGAAGCACTCAGACCGGCAATCATGCCATGTCAAAGCCTCTTAAGTCCTCGTTTTACTCCAGTTAGCTTTAAATTCATTAGTTTACATGTTTGTTAATTTAATTTTCATAAAGTTATACTGAATGGGTGACATTCACAGGTGGACAGACCTGAGCAGGTAAGAAGAGACCTACTCTGGAGCCCAGAACATGAAGTGGAGCCACAGGAAGCAGGCTCTGATTAAAATAATCTAAACCACTAAAGGAAAGTCGACAGATTAGTCCATTCTACGTATAATCATCTGCTGCAGCCCTACTGTACAGGTGCTGGCCAGTAAATTAGAATATCATCAAAAGGTTGAAAATATTTCAGTAATTCCATTCAAAACGTGAAACTTGTACATTATATTCATGCAATGCACACAGACCAATGTATTTCCGATGTTTATTACGTTTAATCTTGATATTTATAGGTGACAACCAATGAAAACATCAAATCTGGTATCTCAGAAAATTAGAATATTCTAAAGGCCAATGAAAAAATGTTTGTTTCTCTAATGTTGGCCAACTGAAAAGAATGAACATGAAAAGAATGTGCATGTATAGCACTCAATACTTAGTCGGGGCTCCTTTTGCCTCAATAACTGCAGTAATGCGGCGTGGCATGGACTCGATCAGTCTGTGGCACTGCTCAGGTGTTATGAGAGCCCAGGCTGCTCTGATAGTCGTCTTCAGCTCCTCTGCATTGTTGGGTCTAGCGTATTGCATCCTCCGCTTCACAATACCCCATAGATTTTCTATGGGGTTAAGGTCAGGCGAGTTTGCTGGCCAATCAAGGACAGGGATACCATGGTCCTTGAACCAGGTGCTGGTGGTTTTGGCACTGTGTGCAGGTGCCAAGTCCTGTTGAAAGGTGAAGTCTGCATCCCCATAAAGTTGGTCAGCAGCAGGAAGCATGAAGTGCTCTAAAACTTCCTGGTAGACGGCTGCATTGACCCTGGATCTCAGGAAACAGAGTGGGCCAACACCGGCAGATGACATGGCACCCCACACCATCACTGACGGTGGAAACTTTACACTGGACCTCATGCAACGTGGATTCTGTGCTTCTCCGCTCTTCCTCCAGACTCTGGGTCCTTGATTTCCAAAGGAAATGCAGAACTTGCTTTCATCAGAAAACATAACTTTGGACCACTCAGCATCAGTCCAGTCCTTTTTGTCCTTGGCCCAGGCGAGACGCTTCTTGCGCTGTTTCTTGTTCAAGAGTGGCTTGACACACGGAATGCGACACCTGAATCCCATGTCTTTCATGAGTCTCCTCGTGGTGGTTCTTGAAGCGCTGACTCCAGCTGCAGTCCACTCTTTGTGGATCTCCCCCACATTTTTGAATGGGTTTGTCGTCACAATTCTCTGCAGGGTGCGGTTATCCCTAGAGCTTGTACACTTTTTTCTACCACATTTTTTCCGTCCCTTCGCCTGTCTGTTAATGTGCTTGGACACAGAGCTCTGCGAACAGCCAGCTTCTTTAGCAATCACCTTTTGTGTCTTGCCCTCCTTGTGCAAGGTGTCAATGATTGTCTTTTGGACAGCTGTTAAGTCAGAAGTCTTCCCCATGATTGTGGTGCCTTCAAAACAAGACTGAGGGACCTTTTAAAGGCCTTTGCAGGTGTTTTGAGTAAATCAGCTGATTAGAGTGGCAGCAGGTGTCTTCTATATTCAGCCTTTTCAGAATATTCTAATTTTTTGAGATACCAAATTTGGAGTTTTCATTAGTTGTCACTTATGAATATCAAATTTAAATGTAATGAACATTGGAAATACATTGGTCTGTGTGCATTGCATGAATATAATGTACAAGTTTCACGTTTTGAATAGAATTACTGAAATATTTTCAACCTTTTGATGATATTCTAATTTACTGGCCAGCACCTGTATACGATGCATGCTCTGTGCTGCATTGTCACTGGACTGTGTAGGAAACCATGCATGTACATTGCAGCAGTAAAATGCTGAGACCCGGTTATTTCCCTCGGTTCAGTCAGACGCAGCAGAAGCCTGAATGCCATCGACACACGGTCGGAAAAGCCTTTTTAAAAGCAGCCCAGTTCCTCTCTTTGCCACATAAAGACCTCTGTGTGCCACACTCAGCCTACAAAGCTTAAGTAGCATTAAGAGAGGAGACCACTTGGATGGTGCTGTGGGCCAGCCTGCAAAATGCAAAAGGATTTGCACTGCAATCTACTTAAAACTAGTAGTCAGAAATGTTTTTTTTCTCCACGTGAGAGCTGATCGCTCTGCAGCAGTGCAGTTCAATACATAACAGATGTTTAGAGAGTTGTTGTAACAATGCAGAGAAACTGTACAGAGTTTCTGTTATTTATTCTTCCAAGGAGAAGAATATGATTCGCTGTCAGAAAATTTCATTTATAAATTCTCTGTTCTAAATGGGCATTTTATAACTGACAGAGAATTAAAACCCGTACATGCCTTAAAGAACAACATCCCCTCTGCAGTAACAGTGTATAGCTCCTCAGTTGAACTGGTACTGGCATTATCCTGTCACACAATAACATCAATGCAATATCCAGTATGTGTTCAGTACGTGTGCAATGTACATCAGTATGTCTGCGTTGTTCTGGAAATTCAAGTTTCCTTTTTATTCATTGTTTTTAGTGGTTGATTCATTGTTTTTAGTGGTTGAAGGTTACAATAATAGTTTATTGCCTTTGTGTGTTTACCCGTAAACTTATTATCTTCTTCTTTTTCAAGCGCATGTGCTGCTGTAGCAAGTGAATTTCCCCACTCTGGGATCAATAAAGTCTATTCTATTCTATTCTATTCCCTGCATTAGCTTCTGATAGAAAACAGATGAAAAAACGATTGGTTTGGAAAAGCCGGTGTCGGTACAAGATAAGCTCGGGTGCAAGATCGGCTCAGGGTCCTTCGACTGCCGATGACATCAAAGTAGTTGATTGGCTGAACATGAACCTTATGGAAGTTACGTAATCACGTTACGTTGTTATCACGTTACGTTGGTCCAGGCAAATTTTTCTGTTGGAAAGATGGACAATTTTTACAAAAATCCATCATTACCTCTTTGAAAATACACTTTTAGCATAGAGCTGCGTGTATATTAGGGCTGAACGATTAACTGCATGTGCAATTAAATTGCGATGTGACAAAAGGAGATTTTCTAATCGCAAAGGCTGCAATTTGGCAGCGAGTGGTTAGCGCAATGCTAATATACATGGAAAAACCCATAGGAATGCTAATGCTAATATCACTGATTACACTCTTACAAATTATGAATTAGAAACGTGCCAAATGATTACATTTGGAGTCTAATAGAAAGTAAAACTACCATCAATCAAATAAGTACAGACAGGTATTTTAGTAAAGCCAGAAAACTTTTAACTCCAGAGTTTTGGCTAGCAGCTATGAGCGTAACTGAACTACGCATGGACAAGATGTTAAAAACTCTAAACACAAAATACATCAATAAATGGGACACACTTCTTTCCTGCAAATACAATTTCACAGGTGTTGCTAATACCTATGATCCTTCAAGGGATGTGCTCAAAGAGGAGTTCAACATTATGAATACAATATAGTGTTTTATTTTACAAATACCAATATAAACACAAACTTACGTCGTAAGAAACATTATTTTAATAACGAAACTGATAAATTCTTTCCAACAGTATAAAGATGTCTAGTGTATTTTGGCTGAGTGGGTTTGCCGTACTTTGAAGTCATCGGCAGTCGAAGGACCCCGAGCCGATCTTGCATCCGAGCAGATCCTGTACCGACACCGGACAGATCTACGTCACACTGTCACTTAATGGTCAGGATCTTCCCCATCTTGGCTCGTGATGAGGAAGGCTGTTGTTGATTTAGGCATTCATTCCTATTATAGACCACTGCAAATGTGTTAGAAATAGAAGGAAATCTTTAAAAATATGAGTAAAGTTGACCTTTAAGACATGTGATGTGAAGAAATTGTGACTAGAAAGTCTGCATTGACTCTTGAACAGTACGCCCCATGTAACTCGACTAAATTTAACACATGCAGGTGGAATTTTTTTAAGTCACAAACAGCCAAATCCCATGTGAGATACAAATTTTCCTTGCATCAATTAGCATATAGTATAGATGATGTGAGGGACCTATATGAGTTTTCATTTTTTTAGGCTTGTAAGAACCTATGATCCATCAAACATTTATAAGAACACATTCATAGTATTTTTTTCTTTTGCAATAAACAAGTTAGGGTTTTAATAATTAATAATTTTTAGAGGATTTTTTTTCTAGATTTTCTATTGAAGTTTCATTTCAGTCAATCTTCCTAGGCTGCCCAGCTGTGTGCATTTTTAAGCTAGCAATGCAATTTCCACAAATTGCAAAAAAAAAAAAAAAAAACACTGAAAACACTGAAAATGTGGATCACCAGTAGGATGTTGAGTCAGAAAAAAGCCAGAAATAGAGTGAAGTACATCCAGCATCAACTTCTACATGGCGAGGGCAAAGCAGAAGGTTTTGCTGTGGATGTGTGACATTTTATGAGGCAGAGCTCCCGTGCGCATGTGTTTTATTAAACCCAAGAACAAGGTGGTGCTAATTTTATTGACATTGTGAAAAACGAGCTCTGGAATCTCAAACATTCAAAATCAATCAGTATTGAAAAGCTGAGCGTTTTCACAACAACAATTTCCATAAACCTGTGGCCACTAAGCACTGCTCCACATGCATTTCAATAAGATCCGTAATCATGCACAGTTTTTAGCTGAATGATGGCAGGAGCTTTCCACTTTTATTCTGTCATTACGTCCTTTCATTTATGTGGTGTTAATGACTACTTCGCTCCTGCAGCTGTGCAAACAAGACAAACCGTGTAGATTTACCGTGTTTCTGATTCAAGCCAACACGCATCGTAATCCTCATCGAGACAGATTCTGCATTCCCTACCTGTGTACTCTGGATCCACATGAGGAGGGTAGAAGCGGAAGTTGATGAAGAAGGGAATAGGCACTCCAAACTTGAACCACTCCACCACATAGGGAGGCTGCTGGCCATCCAGGGGAGGGGACACGTCACACCCCAGGATCACGCTCTCTCCAGCGCGCGCCGTCACAAACCGGGGCTCCTCTCTCACGCCGTGGGCACCTGCGATGAGACACGTATAACTTTTATAACGCAGCGGTGCTGAAAAAGGCACAGATTTACTGCAGCGTCGTGTTGAAGTCACAAAGAATAGTCAGGTGATCAGCAACACTAACTGATGTGTAGTCAGCAGTCCACAGTGCGAACGACTCCTGTGCACATGGGTAAAGCCTCGGCCCTTCATCAGCTTTCCCTCGTCTCATCGTCATCTGTCACCTGCATCTGCTGGTGAGTATTTGTGCCATACTGTCTATAAATGAGCTGCCAAGAGGTCCCATTGATCATCGCTGGCTGCTGCTCAGATGAGCTTTACTATGTGCACCGCCAGGCCTGGCGCTGTGCCAGAGACGTCCTGGTAAGCTGAGGTGCGTTGACCTATCAGATAGCTCGAAGGTCGGCGTGCCTGCCTCAGCAGAACGCTCACTTTGAGAATGGATTTTCGTCAGTTGCCACCCCGCTTTCATCGAGCCGGGTGAATCTCAGCCGTCAGAGTGGGCATGTCTACCGGCCCTTGCCCGGGGGGAAAAGACGCTTCAAGGATCAGGAGACATGCTGAAGTTTCCCTCCAGAGGAGCAGCAGCTGAATTATCTTTCATTAGCAGCATCATTTGCATTATCAGGGCAGATTTTCACTCAGAGAAGTGGAGGCATTATGGGCTCGGGTTCACGTCGTGTGAAACTGAAGTGCTACATGACCTGCGAGCGGCGCCTTTCCAACTGTGCAGGCTGAAAATAAAACCTAAATATTTTCATCCCGTTCTTCTGTCTGCAAAACTAAAGCTGTAACTCCGCCCCCTTGAACCATATGCACCACTTAGAGATTGTGTTTACCAGTTTAATCTGCATTATCCTGTGACACAGTAAATCCACTTTATTTGTTTCAGCCAGCACAGATTTGGGGCTGAAACAGAGCAGATTAAATCAAATTGTACTTGTTTTAATAGAAATGTGGTCCGTCAGTTAGTTAGTGTTGCTGATCACCTGATTATTTTTTGTATTAAACAGCCATGCTAATACCGTTGGTGCTGACAAGAAACACACTCAAACCTCAAACAGACTTTCAGGAGGAATATAAAATGATACGTCCCTTTGGGTTTAACATGCAGGCTGAACGTGAAAATAGTCTCCTACCCCTAGTTCCTGCATTAGCTTCTGAACATTTGGTTCAGAAGAGCCTGACAGATCTACATCACACTGTCGATTAGCATTGATGATCACCCCCATCTTGGCTCGGGACAGGGAAGGTGGTTGTTGGTTTAGCATCCCGGAAACAGCAGAGAAAGTCTCGACTAGCAGGAGATAACCATTAGAATATGCAACTGCACCACACAGCAGAACTCCTTCATCCTTGTGTTATTTGTTGAGATAAAACATCAGAGTTGCAAAGCGATCAGAGTGGATGGAAGAGTCATGTTGCTGTTAGCCAATCAGAGGCAAGATGTCCAAATTACAGGAAATAACCCCCGTTCCATTCCAGGGGCATCAGCGGGATGGTTTTTCCAGGTATGTCAATCCACACTGCGAGCGATGCGGCATCTCTGCCTCGCTGGACTTGCGAAATCTCCAAGTCCCTCGAGACTTCATCCGCCATTAAAGCATCACGAAGGAAAAGGAAATCATGTCCAAGAAGAAAAAGCACACCGTTGCAATTCTTGAAAGATACGAGTAGTAAATAATCCATGAGGTATAGATGTTATCTACAAAAAAAAAGATATTGCAGCTCTACAATAGACTTTTATTTTGAAAATAAACTGAGGTTTCACATTGAAACCAAATGTAATTTCCTGTCCAGCCCTATGTTAATTGTGGAAATTAACACATCCCTGAAGCGTCCCACGGCAAAAATAGAACCCATTACTATCTTTAGCGGCACGGCGCCGCTGCCTGTAAAGTTCTGCAGCCGGTTTGGACCAATCCGATGGACCATAATGGATTCTATTTCAAGCACCATTCAGCACCGCTCATGCCCCCAGTGTGGACCCGGAGTGAGACTCTAAATCCTGCCGTCTTCTGGCACTTTCTCCTTCAGCTGACTTCTACGTCCTCAACCTACAAGTCTATCATTCCTACCAGGGACCACTGCAAATGCATTCAAATATTAGTAAATTTGACCTTTAATATATCCATAAAATATTAGTTTCCACAGAAGCCTACTTGAAAAGGTCTGAAGTATCCCTTTGAAGTCCAACACTTGTGGTTTACCATAATCTAAGGCCTGCAGAAGGTCAGAGAGCACACTGCAACACACTGGAAGATTATTTCAAAGCAAAAGGATCAAGTCCAGGTGCGTGCGTGCGTGCGTGTGTGTGTGTGTGTGTGTGTGTGTGTGCGTGCGTGCATGCGTGTGTGTGTGTGTGTGTGTGTGTGTGTGTGTGTGTGTGTGCCTGAAACACTATTGTGTTCTCCCCAGACAGCTCAGGTTGCACACATTTAGCAGCTCATGCTTCTAGTTGACAATACTTTTGGATGCTTGTGGCAGGTAAAACATGTCTCGGACGCAGAATAAACGGACTATAAAACATGGGCAAGCTGATGATTCTACGCTTGTTTATGAGGCGACAATGAGCATCAGCTTGGTCACTGCTTTTCATTTCCTTAATGGAGACACCGTGGCCCGCTAGGTTTTATGTTAGCTCATTCGGGGGGGATATTTACGTGCTGAACAAATCATAAAAAGCAACACAGGGGTCCAAGTTTGAGATTATATAGATGAAAATACTTTTGACGATGCAAAGGGACCAAAAAAGATAGGGGACGGATTCAGACTTGTGATTGCTCTGGCGCCATAAATGTCAACTAACTACTCTTCGAGGGCATGAAAGCAGAAATCTGTCGTGTAACGTCTGCACAAACCGAACATCTAGTAAATCCTGCAGACTGGTACATCCTATGAATCTATCCTCTGCGTTTAGCAGATTTACAGGCACGATTGTGAGTTATTGGAGGGAAACAATTCACCTGGCTGATAAATCACCCAAAGTTCCAGCGGCACAGGAAGTAAGGCCTCACCATTACACTGGATTAAACCGCTTTTATGTGCTTCATCACACAGTTAGTTTCATTATTTAAATACAATCAGTTACGAGATGATAAAACTTACTAATAAAATATGTTCTGATGAAAAAGCCAAACGTAACTTATGCCAATAGTTTATTTAACAGAAAAATAAGAATTTAAATTTAATATCAACTTTTTTTCTGCCTCTTGATCCAGAAAAAAGTAATTAGGCTCGGCCAGAAATTACGGGTGTCATGGGTCTAATCTAAATCTCTCAGAATGAACACTTCTAAAGCACAGGGAGGTTAAGCTGTCAGACATTTCACCGGGAAGCAAAAGCTGGAGGTCAGAATTTGAATGAGAGTGAAAGCAGAGCTCATTTTTTTCATTTGGAACCTCTTAAGAGTAAACTCATGAAACTTTAGGATGTTTTTACTCACACATCTAATATCAGTTGATTGAAGAGACAGATGGAAGAGTCACAAACAGGTAAATGGAGACGTACACACAGATTGTGTGAGTCGCAGTGGGAATTGATCTAACATTTGGCGATCTGAAGGATGTTCTCTTTGATGTTTGAGGCATTAAAGAGCTTGTAGGTTCCTAAGTGCCCTCGGACACATCGCATAATTCTGCAGACAACCGCAGTTATGTAAAATATGAAAACTTTCTATCAAGTTGACTTGACCTAGTAATTATGTAACTAGATATTTAAAAGCAGCTGACGGAAACACGTAAAAGGCTTTATACGCAGCTAGAACAGTTAATGCGGATTTCTGCTGTTTTAAAACAACTACCAAAAATGCCATGGAAAGTCTTCCCAAGGCAGCCTAAATATGCTGCTAGCTCCTAGCCAGGCAAGCCAGACTAAATAAATGTATTATTTATTTTTCTTTGCAAAGCAAGAATTTGGTCTAGTTCACTAGGCTAGCTAGCTTCAGCAGCAACCCCAAAACTCCAAACATTTAAGCATTTATCGTGAAGTTTAATGCTCTGTTAAGGTTTATAAGGCAATATTTGCATAAAAAATGAAAAAATTGGAAGATTGGGGTGATTTTAAGACATGTCGATTGACAAGCATCTTAGATGACCACACAGCTAGCCATTAGCCAAGCTAACGAAAGCTAACAAGTCAAGCTAACAAAAACACAGCCGTGGCTTGTGAGATTTTTAAACTAGAATTTTATTGAACTGCTATTGATCTGCACACATTTATGACACATTTTACCCATAATGCATTTGAGATAAAACACATTAGCCTACAAATCTAGACAAGCCGTTGCATATGCAAAAATATTTTTCTCTGCAGGTGCGTCTAGCCACACTCAATTGTAGCCTCAGCAGGTCTACCAGTTCCCCAAACAATTGTAGGTCCAGCCACAGCGCTTTACATTTGTAGAGAGATGTTGGGTAGGCATAACACCAGAGCTGCAACTGAGAAAACCTATAAAGATGGCATCGGCTCAGGAACGGAGCTCGTCATCAACAACGGCTTTGGCAACAACTTTGGTCAATTTAAACTTTGGTTTTCCTTTGAGACATGAGCAGATGGAGGGTACTTGTGTTTTCAAAAAGGATGTTTTTGATTCTTCTTCGATGATGTATAGTGGACTGCCCCATTGACTATTACCTAACAATGAAGATGTCACATTGTTTGTTGCTCTGATTGGTCCTAGCACTGTCCAGTTGCGTAAGGAGACAAGTTGAAAGACAACCGCCCAAAGGGGCTACTCCAGAAGTGAGAAAAATTCCAGTTTCCCTCTCATCCACTAGGGGCTGGCACCATAATAGAGCAAGTTCTCGTTGACTCCATGTTAAAAATGCCAACTTCGCAGCAGAAAAATACATGTTTACAGTCTGGTACAAAAACCATTTTAGGTTCTAAAAGTAAAGTTTACAGTCATGACAACTCTTAAGGGGGAGGTGAATGTTTTTTAAGTCATCCGTTTAGATGTATTTAAACCTTGAAATTATGACTAATTAGGGGTATAGCCTTTCGACTGGCA